GATCGAACGAATTTCGCGTGTCCGTGCGAAGCGATTACGAAGAGATACATCCACCGAGAGAAGTCACGCGTCGCCGATGCCGTTTCCGCTCGCACGCTCGCTGCGAGAAACAAAACAACGCTTGGGCCACGCCGGCCGCTACTCGCTCTCTCCCCCATTCTTCGAAGTTTCTCATCGCGATATCGTCACGGTGTAGTACCTTTTTCATTTTTTTCTCTTTTTCTCTTTTTGATTAGCGCACGTGCTACGCGATGTTTAAAAAATCTGTCGTAAAAGTCGCGTATATAGAAGAGGGTTCAAGGTTCGTTTCTTTTTCCTTTTTCATTTCTTTTTAGTTTTGTTTTAGTAAAAACGAGAATCTATCAACCTAACATAGTGTTGTTCCGTATCGATGTCCAACGAAGCGATAATTATTATTTCTTTCATCATTCTGTCGTCTCGTAAACTCGGCGAAAACTTTTCGAACGTCGTTCCCCTTTTCGCGGAACCGCGGACCGACTTTCTTCCACGCTCGCGTCGTTTAGTCGTTCGTTTATACATTCTTGAAACCACGATGATAATTTTGACAGTAATTAACCACAATAGTAAAAGCATATAAGCTATACAACTACCGTTTCTGTATCTACAATATAGTTTTATGTATATATATATATATATATATATTTTTTTTTATTCTCTCCATTCATAGTCTATGTACTTTTATGGACACTCAACTGTCTCTGAAAGGCTATCAAGAGGCTCGGTGCTTTTCGCGCGTTCAGGTATTTATCCTCCACCTTCGGTCTCGTCGGTTCGTTCTCGATCGTTCCCCGGATCCTCCGTCTCCTCCTTCCAACGATGACAACCCCGTCGCTCGAAATCGATCCACCTCGGCGGCCACCTCGAGGATCGACGAGACGCATCCCCTTCCGCGAGAGAATCAATCGAAGTTCGCTTCGTTTCAGGAAAGAGAACGCGTTGCTAGAGATGAGCGGTCCGATGGACGTGTCGTGATCTCTCCTCCTCGGTCTTCCTGTTCCAGCGGGAACCACACGGCTCCCTGTCGTGGGAGGACATCCTGGTCGTTTTCCACGGCGACCCGAAACAACGCGAAACCCTGAACTGGTCGTCGAAGATAAACCGCCGCGTTGCGACCCTGACGACGCGGAACGATCGTCCGGTAGCTCAGGCATCCCTTGCTCGCTTTTGCTCGCTCGCTTCTCTTCTATTACTGCAGAACACAACATTTGCATTTAGGCTTCTTCTTCAGGGTGACGTGTTCGACCTGCGAAGCGTCGCCTGGTCCCTGCGCCGTCATTCTAGCCACTTCCACGGTCGCTGCCCTCGACGCGGCAACCTGTGTGCATTCAACAATACCCCGTTATTGCTTGGAACCAGTCATTTCGCATCGATTTCACTCCATATTCGTACCCCTGCCGTGCAACCCCTCCCCTTATAGGAATATCGTAACGTCGCGTATTTTATTTTACGTCAATATTTCTCATCGATGCATTATATGAAGTATAATATTAACCCTTCGCACTCTGCAGTTTCTCACTGGAAATACTTTAACATTTGATGATGAGATAAAGAAGAAACTTGAAACTCGAAGGGAAATCACAAGTATATCGAAGAAAGCTATTTTATACCAATATTCCATATCAAGGAATTGTACAAAGTTCAACATTAAACATTAAATTTCATAGTTTTACCGCAAATCAAATGGTGAGAGTCACCTCCCGAGTGCAAAGGGTTAAACACCGTATTCCGCTCGACCAGATAACTTCGCCCTCTCGTTCCTCGACTATCGGATATCCGGAACAAAGCTCGAACGTCCAAGAGAGGTCGGACCTACCTTATCATTGACGGGTTGCTGGTTGTTCGCGGTCGCGGATTTGATAGGTGTGCTGTGTGCATTCCCGTTCTCTTGGCCGGGTTTCGGCGACGAGTTTGCGCGCAGGTTCGTCGAGTTCGCGGAGGACTTCAGCAGGGGGCTGGAACTCGAGTCGTGGTCCAGGGTGGTCTGCGCGTTCCCTGAGCCCGCCTCGCATCTCGGCAACGGCGGGGCGGTCTGGCCGGGGGTCGGCGTGATCGGTTTCCCACCTTTTATCAATTCCACTATCTCGTCAGCCTCCCTCGAAAGGTCGCCGTCCGGTCTGAACGGATTGTCCCAGCCGCTGTCCGTGCTGCAAACGAATTCGCTCATTCAGAAAGTTCCGTGCTCGTTATCGCGGGCCAGCCGTACGATCGATCGGCTACGGTTTCAAGGAGTCCGGGGAACCGGATCAAGTATCTACACGCTCCACCAGCCGCCTCGTACTTCTTATCTTCCCCGTTACGCGCAGCCACACAAATTACTCGCGCGTAACCCACCGCTGGCGGTATATCTGGAAACTTTCCCGATGAGAATCGCCGGCGCGACGCGAACGCGTTTCGAGGGGGAGTCTCGCGTTTCTAGCGAAGGAAATTAACCCTTAACCTCTGAGGCACGGCTGAATTTTAATAATTAGAAGGAAGATGAATAAATAAACTTCATTCCATTCTAACCGATAGGCTGCCACTTTTAGGCAGTGTACCGGAGAAGCGCGATCGCGTTGCTTGGCACTTAACCCTTTGCGGACGAATGTCGACATTTCGGCGAGATGAAATTTTCGTATTTCGAAGAGTAAGTCTCGAACAGCCGATTTAATTATATGTACAGCAAGAGAGCACGTAGTTTCCCTATTCTCTATTGTCTAAGCAATTGAAGAGTAACATAACTTCATCCGGTGAAAGTTTCGTATATTTCTAAGAACCTTCGTCCGCAAAGGGTTAAACGGTTAACGGAGTGGTAGTATGCGGAGCGGTCTAGGATTTACGGAAAGTGACGAACTACGAGAAGTTTCGGAGTATCAGTGAACTCGACGGTAAGGTGAGTTGGTCGTTCTGTGTTAGACGCTGAGGCAAGTGGAAGATTATTTGATTATTTTATTGTGTTTATAGTTTTAAGAATATTTCATGGATTCTTATATATAAATTGATATATTTCCAGTTTGTTTAAAAAATACCGTGACATAGTTAAACAGAAGGAAATTCATAGAAGTGACTTAGCACGGTACATAACGTTAATTGTAAATATTACAATCAGAGTGATAAAAATAGTAGAATGATCTCTCCTGCGATGTGCCGCTAATATGGCGCCGTTGCGTCAACGGTGAAAATACCTTGACGCGTTCGTTAAAGGTAACAATTCGAATATCGATGTCCTAAGGTCAATGCCAATTCCAGCATTTTTTGCGTGTCTTCTCTCCGGTCACGGCATCGCGCGACGAGTTAGCTTCAATTATAATTGCCACTCCCGGTTAACCGTGACAACCGTGACATTGGCCACGATATCGGATTGCACCTAATTGCGATTCATCCTCTGCTCGCTCCCTATTCGTCGTTGCCGCTGTCGATGGTCGCGCGTGCAGATACTCTTTAACACTGAGGCGACCGTCTAAAAGGGACTATACGACTAGAACCTTTCTCGTCATCTTCGGTTGAACTTATTTAACACGTTAAGCGCCATGTTGTACGAGCTTAGTAGCGGAAGCGAATAGTACGCCAGGGGGTTAACGAACTATTTTAAGTTTACCGCAAAAAAATATTGTAACGAGGAAGAAACTCATAGAGGTGACCTAGCACGATACTTGACGCGTTAATTGTAAATATTACAAGAATAACAGTGGGAAAAATGACGAGAGGATTTTTGTTCTTTATGGGATCGGTCTGTTGAGAGTTAACATGCGATCTCTATAGAAATTGTAACGATAGACTACTTTCAGTCTCTTCGGACGTCAACGATAGTATGGGAAGATCATTTGAAATATTCAGTAGTTTCAATAGAAATAACACGATTACCTGAACACTAGGTTCACACCTGAATTTCACGCACACCGAATTTCAAAGATTAACAAATGAAATGTCCATAATACAACGTCCAGTTCTCATTCTCCGGAAACCGCAAGAACTTCCTTCGGTTGTATCTACCATTCGGCGCCGTGCTCGTTGCGTTTCGAATCGATCGGAAAGTACTCGAGCCGTGAAACCACTCGTGACTCGTGTTATCTATCGCTAGACGAGTAGAACAGCTAGTTTCCAGAGCAGCTAGTTTCGTTCCGAGTCGACCAGAGTAAAGCGCACGTTTTCCAGGCGCGAACCGTAGAGTTCGCGCGAAAATCCAGGAGAAGATAGATTTCAAAAGCGAATCGTTGTTCGGCTAATTAATTCAAATGCCTGGCCAGCAGTCCCTTAAACGGATTACACTCTTAACCCACTTATTTTAATGCCGTGGCCTCGCGAACGTGATTATTGTCTTTATCCCCGTGGCGGTTGTCGTCTCCCGCATTACCGCCGTTAATTGCATTACGCGCTGTTTGTCTCGTCGCAGCGAGACGCATAATTGCACGGAGTCGTCCGAGTTACGTAAGCCACTTGTCTCGTGTGTTGTGTATTTCAACGCGGCCGCGCGTTCTTCCGAGTCGCTCGTTCGCGTCTTCGGGGGAAAAGGATGGAACGCGTTAATTAAACGGCTTCGACGGGGGATGATATTCGGATCGAGCGATCGCGGAACGTTCGTTCATTAACCCTTTGCAGACGGAAGCTTTTCACTAGAATTTCCCAACATCGTTGCGTTCGATTCTGCTGAACGATTAGCAGGTCTGGCTTCCAAAAGAATTTATTTATTAATTAAAGATAGAAAACAGAGTATATGTATTCGCGTAAGTTTTCCGAAAACTCTGCCGCGATGGAATTCCAGCCCTCGGTTCTCCCAGAATCCCTTTCCCCCGCTCCTTTACAGAATCCTTTAAATACGGAGGAACAACGGAAAAGAGGACTCAGTTTTTCTAGAGCGACTTTGCGACGTTTATACTGAAACACTTGTACTCGGTTCAACTAAATAAAAACTAGTGCTACCAATCCAGTGAAACTTCCTCCCTTGAATCACGCTCTCAGAGTCACCTCGACGACAGTGGATGGCTGGCCGGAAGACGCCGAACGAAATGACGAATGGAAGGGGATGCAGGAACGGACGGGGCAAGCGGAGGCAAAAGGTAGGCCGGAGCGAAACGGTTTAGTAGGCTCTCTCGTCGGAACCATTGGACCACGGCCAGCCGGACTAATAATGTCCGATATTGCGAAACTGCGCGCGCGGCGGCACCGACGGCCGCTTCCCTCGCTTTCCCCGCTGCGATTAATCTCCCCGGATCGCATTCCGTCGCGTTTGTCCGCAGTTCCGACAGCGGGCCCGCGACAATGGAGGAATCGGCGGTGGCCGTTCGCGCGACAACCGACGGACGGACACCCCTTTCCGCCGTTGAAAACGAGACCGACGCGTCGGTGTCGGTGTCGGTGTCGGTGGTGTCGGTGCCTAGCTTTTATTAAGGGTTAATCGTCGAATCGACGTTTCATTCATGTATCGAGGAGACTCGTGTTTCGACAGATTGCGCGTTTTCACAGTTCACAGGTGTTCTAACGGAGAACTACTGGTCGGATCGAAACGATCCGTTTGAAAATGTTTATTTGTTTGAACTCTGTAGGCTCCAATGTTGCACCGGTTATAAAATTAGATATTTTAACGCTTAGATTTAAGGGCGTTTATTGTAGAGTTTATTCTATTGTTCCTGGGGAAGTTGATATTCGTTTATTTAGATTTTTGGTATATTACAAAACCATCTGGAGTGATAAGGATTATTTTACCATTATTGCAACGATGCTTTTGCGAAAGGTTGTAGAATGGGTTCGAAAGGAAACGAGGTGTGCGTATTCTGGAATAGATAGATAATAAACGAGTGGTACTAATTGCTAGGTAGATACAACGTTAAGACCGATTTGGACTCGACCAGTTGTAAGGCCGTTCGTTAGCTCTTATCTTAGCAGTTAGTCACCGATAGCTACTGTCGCAGGTGGTATCGTTAATATCTCATCGGAATGACCCGTTTCGAAATCTTTGTCCCTCTACTATAGACACTACGAAGATGTTTTTGTGAAAAGTAAAATTCGTTTGAAATCTAAGATGCGTTTCAAATTCTTCGATAGATGAATACACGAGTGGGACTAATTAGTAAGTAGGTTCAGTGCTAAGACCGATTTGGACTTGACCGATTTGTCGTAAGGTAATTCCTTAGCTCTTATCTCAGCAGTCGGTCACCGATAGCTACTGAAGGTGGTATCATTAATCAGTTAACTGTGGAATTTAGTTGGGAAAACCTCTCGTTCGCAATAAAATCGAAAAATGGAGCGTGTACTCGTCGAACGCAGTTAACGCTAAAACTACCGAGCACTTCAATTGACTTTTGAAAATTTCGCTATAGAAATTCCAAGAGTGCATCTGTTCAGACTTTAATTGATGTACAATTCAATTTGCGCAGTGCTGAATGAATTTCTTCAATAATTTCTCAGGGAAACATTTACCTTTCTAATAATTGCAGAAAGAAGTCATCAGGCATGGGTCGTTTGACCCCTCTGGTAGTTTTAGTGTTAACTGGTTAACGGGGATTTCGATACGGTGAAATTCTCGAGCGGGACGAAGTTACGAAACTCACGGTAACCCGAATAAATAAAAGCGATAGCGCGAATGATTGTGCCATATACGCGTGTCCATGGTGTCGACATGCGCAATTGATCGGGGAACGACGCAGCATCGGGGGGTGGGAGTCCGGCTGATTCATGGGGAAACGTCGTAGCTGCAGTGAAATGGACCTTCGGCTCGCGTATGGCGCATCGTTTTATATTTAACGCGTTCGCCGCAGGCACGAATTAGGCGGTCTCATTTGTATCGATGATTCATTTCGCTTTCCGTTAACGCGTCGATCTCGAACACTCCACGGCAAATGTTTACGTCGATTTTCATTCGGCGAGGACACGTATCGTAACACTAAAACTATCTTCTTAAAATTTCTTAATAAAAGCTGGAAGCTTTTATTAATGAATTCATTAAGATTTCAATCAGCTTGTATTCCAGAGTTTAGTTACTAAGACAACTTCTTCAATTATTCCTTAAAGAGGCGTCTGTAACTTTACAGTCGTTGCAAAAGAAGAAATTAGGAATTGGCCATTTTGTCCTGCTCGGTAGTTCTAGTGTTTCCAATTTCCAAGATCTGAACGGATGAAGATTAATTCTCGCAGGAGCAATAGAATCAACTGTACACTAATTGTCCGTGAA